CCTCCTTCGCAGGTGGTGTATGGCGCTGCCAAGATTGGCAGAAATGGCAAGACCAGCATGAGACGTGCTTCGCATCTCAGCCTCTGCGCTAGCGACTCCACATCAGATTCTCCTTCATCTGCTTCTTGAATGAGGGTGTATGGTTTTGAAGCGAAGTCTTTGCAACACTCCGTGAACCACTTCAAATAGATCCCTCCTTGGCACAGCACGCAGCTGAGCAAGAAGAAGCCTGAGACGATCACGGCCCGAAGTTCCATGGCGTCAACAGTTCCATGGCACGTGCCATGTGAGTTTCTGAAAAAGGCTGCGAGGTCTCGGAGTCTCGGATCCTCAACAAAGATGGACTTCCAACAGACCCCAGCCGGGGAAGAGATGTTGAAATGACTTCCACCCTTCCACCCATAGGTCACCCGGGTACTCCTACCTTGTGCACTCGAGAAACTCGGCAAGACAAAGTTGAGGACAGGAGGAAAAAATCAATTACAACCTGCACAACGTAGTAAATCAAGGTCCACAAACGAACTCATGTTGATGCATATTGGATCTGCGGAGAAACCACCATGGAAAAGCCTATGTGATCCACAGATGAGGACCAGCCGAAAAAAACACGACCAAGGATTACTACGACGAGAAGCTCACGATGAACTTCATGGGCGAATCGAAAGATGCAGATGAGCGAGTTTCAACCCCTGAAGACGCGGGACATCAACACTGCAGACCACAGCACTTCCGACTGGGCATGAACCGGCCTCTCCTTTGGGGCGGTCGCTGGGGCAGCCTGCAAACGATCGAAGCTACGCAAGCCAACACCCAATGGGCACCCAAGTAGAAGAGGAGACATTCCCTAGGACCTAAAACCAGGATCGATTTCAAAGACACCAAGTAAATCCAAAAGACCATATACAGTAAGAAACAAATCAGAGAGTTGTGAAATAGAACGAACTCGAAGGAAAGGACGATGCAACGAACTCGTCATGTCGAGTTTGGATCAAAAGGCATGGACAATGACGAACTTCATCACTACAAGTGGAGAACCCGACATGGTGTTCCAAAACCAGGGGGGCAAGCGGAGTGAAGCGTCCACCACACGTTCTGCAAGAGAGCCTGAATAAACTCGAAACAGTTCCTGGAACTGGAAGGTTGCTAAAAGGTCAACAAAAACACATCTCAAAAGAATACCGAAATCAAAGTGGGAAACCAGAAGACACATCCAAACACAAGAGTTCTTGTTCCATTTAATCAAACAGACACAAAGCAAAATATGAATGACTACTTGACTGCCTACATCTGCCAAGTAAGGCGCTGGTGCCCTGCCTATTTTGGGCCGCGAGTGGCCTGATGAAGTGACCTAGAGAATCCAGAATTGCAAGTCATGAATTGCTTTGGCTGCTCATATGAGGATTAAAAGGGACCGCACTCCAACAGAGAAGGAGGGTAGGACCGCGTCCTCTGAAAATTGTTTGATCCATCGATCGCACCGAAGAAGTTCGGTCGCTGAAGAATGAGGCAATACCGCAATGCTGCAATCTACCGGATGCGCTTTCTCCATCCATGCAATCTGTGAAGCGCTGAGCCAACGCTTGCATTCATCCAGCTTCCTCGCCAAATCCCCCAAAAGACTCATGTCAAAGAAGGAAAAGAGTTGCCGAGTTGCCCTTCTTTCAGGAAAAACCTGTTGTGTTGGATGCCCAAAATGGTTCTGGTCAAACGAACAAAAGGAAGCAGGAACGGCTGGATGATTTGGTCTTCAGCACTTGTGGCTGGAAGAACCGTTGTTCGTCCCTGTCATGACATGCCCCGTGTCCCTGTCATCGGATGCGAGACGTCAAGACCGGCTTTCTGGCCTGACTTCTTTCCTAAGAAGACCTGGATGGGGTACATGACACTGTGAACACATACAAAGTGCTACCGAAGTGCTACCAGAAACATCAGGCTCCAACAGAGATACACAAAATTTCACTTGACTATGCACCACGCATCCCCCATCCGATCTGTCCTATCCTTCGCATTCCAAAACTGGCCGCTTCTTTGGTGTTAGGCGTCCTGCTGTATGCCTCGTGCCTCTCATCAACACCCAGGAGGTAGCAACCGCAAAGTGGACCCTAAGAGGCGCACGCCCAGCAAGTGGATGGTGATGCCGAGACCAAGCAAAGAGGCGGGTATCGCCTCTCCCCAACCCCAACCGGCGATCGCCCCCTTCTCCTCCCCCCAACCGGCGATCGCCCCATTCTCCTCCCTGGAGAACTCATGCTCCGTAACCCCTTCCCAAGCCCCAATGCACACTCTCCACTTTACCCAGACCGGCTTGCTCACGTAAAGATACAGAGATGCCATGTCTGGAGTGGCCTTGGGGTACAAATCGAGCCAAGCCTCGGCATTGGACACTCCCAGCGGGAATGCGTCACGGGAAGGACCCACTTGTTCGTCTCAAACAAATGCTATTGTCATCCCAGGCCTTGTCCGTCGGCAGAGTTCCACTCTTGACTTCTCCCATCAGAGCTTTCCGAAACGCTGTCTGCGGTGTTCGAAGAGACCACCAAATGGCTGCGGTGTTCGTGAGCAACATAATTCAATAGTGGAATGAAGCAGTCTTGGACTCCAACCGCAATCTCAAGCTGTCGTCAGAATTCTCACTGAATCCAACATGTGCTATTTGGCTCTCCACCACAAGAACAAGAGATCTGTAGAGAATTCACATTCCAAAGCCTACAAGTTCGGACCTGTCCTAGCAATCACTCATGCCAGCGACTGCTGACGCTTCATCCAACATGGCAAGGGGTCGACGTGCTTCGCGCTCTGCGAGCGACTCGGTCCTGACAGCTCCACCCAGCCTGAGGCTCAGGCTGGAGCTCAGGGGCCTCTCATCTGTCAAGCGGCAGGGTGACCTGAGATGGGTGAGACATGGAACCAGCTTAGCTAAACCTTTCCACCAACAGGTAAAACCTGGTGAATACAAATGGCTGCAGCTTGCATGTGCAAGGATGGCATGGAAGGGTCTACCTCTTCGTTCAGAAAACCACTCCTTTCAGAAGCCAAGAAAACCAGGTAAAACACCTGCCTGCCAACCGCATTGTGGCCTCAAGGCCAGCAGGGTGTCTTTAAGATGGAATGAAGAGGGATGCAGTGCACCGTACGCGACTCTGCAAGTTGTTTACAGCAAAAGGATTCACCACACCATGATGGCCTCCGTGTTACCTCGTCCCCCCGGCGTCTTACAGACCTGCGTCACCGACCCAACGCGATCAGTTTTGCTCTGCTGGATCTGGATCGGTTGGTCAGTCAAGGATTTACACTCCCTGAAACAATCATGGTTCCGTGGAACATACACCCCTGCAAGACCCCCTGGAAGACCATTTTCCTCTATATACAACGGGGTCCTGGTCAGCTTCCATGATTGCTGGAGGGTGCAATGCAGGAAGTGGAAGGCAACACAGGTGTCAGGTGTCGACCGGTGTGTCGAACTTGATGTGTGCATCCTTAAGACCCTCGACCCTCAGCATCCCTCAGCATCCCTCGGCCCCCCGGGCTTCCAGACACTAGCTGCCTCTGAAAAGCAGAGACGAAGCGTGAAAAGGGGCCAACCAATGATATGAGGTGGATCGAACAATCCTCAAGAAGTGGAAAACGGATGAAGTATGATGGGACAATTGGAGAGTATTTGTTCATGTTTATGATATACCAAAAGCACCATCAAACAGCTGGAAGCAGCTGGGATGCCAACCAGTGCCCAGCAGCGCGGGCGGCCTCAAGGCCTCTAGTCCTCCTGATGACCTGATGTCTCAAAACGATCTCCGAAGATCTACGCAACAAACATGGAAATGATGCCCAATGCAACTCTTACCTGTATCTGTGTATATGTTTTAAGCGTTTTTTAACCACACGTTCAGGACGGGATTCACCTTCACCTTCCCTATGTTTCTTCAATCTATACACTGGTCTACTGCATCTACAGACTACTGGGCACCAGCAGGTGCTTCAAAGCGGCCGTGCTGCGCCGGGCTTCAAGGCATCGCCCAGCAGTTCGTCCTCCCAGCAGCTTCAGCCAGGCAACATCTGCTTGAAGCTGTGGATCAGTCGTGGAGCTTCTGCCGTATCAAAGCCTGGCGGTGGATGTGGTCCTTCAGAAATGCATCTCCAAAATACATCTATGAATTCAAGCACTTCAGATTCAAGATATTCAAGATCTGTGCAGCAAACAAACAATAAGGTATACCTTGAAAGGGACAAGTTCTCACGTCTCACACATGTTCTTCGAGCATTTCAAGAATGGACGATCTCCCTCTTCTGCATTCTGCATCTAATTACACTGCACTTTGCAGAAGCGGTTTAACAATTATGCCAAAAGGATGCCAAAAATGAGAAACTTCCTTGACCCCAGCTTCCAATCTGCCAAGTGGAAATTGCAAAAACAATCAAAAGTCTACAGAGCAACATCTCTCACCCTGTCTTCAAAGATTTCAGTAGCACTATGTCTAGAGTCTAGGAAGTTGTTCTTGGATTTTTTGGCCATATCCGCTCAACCACTCTCCCCACCACAGCAACCGAGTGTCCCAACCTTCAATAAACACATCCAATCGAACTTGAACCGGGCATAACCGGATCTTCGGTGATGTATCAGTGGTTTTTCTTCGATGCTTGCCAAAAAGGCCGGGAGATCAAAGCAGTACCGCCGTGACCAAGACCGAGCATGCTAGGGTGGAGGCCTCGGTGGGACACGATCGCCTGGCCAACTCCAAGACGATCCGCAGGCAGCAGAAACGGCTGGGAAACGGCTCCTGCATGGGTGCAGCAAAGAGAAAGCCTCCCAGTTAGCCGTACAGCGGCGAGGCTAAAAGATGAATGAGCAAGACATGTCACGAGTCATGGCTCTGAAGTACATGCCCAACCTTACAGGTCAAGTTCATTTTCATTCAAGCGATGCCGCCAGAGTTGCAGGGTGCTCCAACAGGAGCACAGCACCTGCCATTCCGCGTTTGGACCTTCTCTTCACTTTGGGAGCTTTAGAACAGCGAGAGTTTGCAGAGGCCCACTGCACATAAGCCTAGTCCAACGACTAAGCCATTAAAAGGATTTGATCCTGTGAAATAGCTGAAGTTCTCCGGCTTCACGTGGCTGGTGCCATAGCGTGCAGCCCACTCCACATGCTGAGCAGCAGTGGCTACACCACCTGTGGCACCAGATGCAATCATGAGTTCAGCTGCCTTAGCTGCATAAGATGGAGTGTTCATCACCTTGGTCACTGCCGAGCACACCGAGTCTTCAGTGATCCAGCCCTCCTTGTAGGGATTCAGGGTCCCCTCAGCTCCAGTAGGGATTCTGCCAATCAATTCAGCAAGACCTCTTTGTTGGATCAGCTTGGCATTTTGAGGTTGATCACCAAAGAAAGGCACCGCCACCATGGGCTTTCCGGCAATCAGGGTTTCCATGATACCGCCCCAGCCGCAGTGTGTGATCACCAGTTTGATGGCCGGATCTTGTAGCAACTCTGCTTGTGGAAGCCACTTGCTGATGAAGAAGTCTGGGTCCTCCTTGCTGGGGAGAAACTCTTGTTTCTCTTCCTTCAAGCTCCACACCACACGGCACTTAGCCTTTTTCAGGCCATTAAAGATCACGCGTACCTGCCAACAGGGCTGGCAAGCACTGCAATTCTCCCAGAGGTGTTCGACCCTAGAATGAAAGCCTATGGCCTATGGTGACTACAAAACTCACATAGAAAAGTATTCCCGCTACAGACTCTTGAAACCTAATTCCTATCTCCTATAACGCTCATGAACCCAAACATAACCTCGGACATATGCTTTCCTTGAGGAAAAACTATCTGGTCTCAACCAACCCACATCCCAAACCACCTCCCAAACCCGCCTGCCACGCTTCCAGCTTCACCAAGCTCCCCGTGGTCACATAGACCACACCCTCCGGCGCGGCGCGCAGGAAGCGCTGGAGTTCCACGTGCTTGGCCAGGCCGTCGCGCAGAGCGGCCGCCGGCGGCAGGACCGGGCCGGTGACGATGAAGTTGGGATAGATGGGCATCGGCCTAAGAGGTCGGGATCTGTCTGGGTGGGTCTGGAGATGGGATCGGATGGTTCTTGTGGTTGAACAAACATGTCCTTCTTATTCTGACATCAGGTGATAACTGTTCAAAGTGTTGCCCAAAAACGTCGGTTCTGAAGCGAACAAGCTAGTTCTCAGAGCTCATCCAGGCGTCTTATCCAAGCCCCAAATGGTCTGCACCAGCACCATGGCGCCACGGCCCACCGCATTCCGCAAGGGTTTGCCCCATTCCGTCAAGCCACCCAAGCCGAGCCACTTCACTAAGGTCAAGGCACTGAAGCGTTGCCTCGCCAGGTGTAGACCGAAGCAGTTTACGCCGGTCGAGGTGTCGGGCAAACCACAAATCACTTGCATCAGTGACAAGGGTCCCGGCATATTCAGCACCAATGGCAGCTTCATCTCTTCGGTGATCAGACATCCTGCGATGGAAGCAAAGTCTGCTAGCACCACGTCAGGCCTCTTCTGGGAGAATTCTTTCCTCAAGGCCGGGCACATCAGATTTGAAATCACGGTGAAAACATGTTTGCGCGAAGCAGTCGCTGTGCTCTTGATCGTCTCGTCGCTGTAGCCTTGCATGTCCAAAGCAACCAGCGCAGCTCCAGTCTCTTTGATCTTCTTCTCAAAATCATTCTTCCCAATCTCCGGCATGTAGACGCAAACCTGGTGCCCTCGCTTGCAGAGCTCGCTGCAAAGGTAGAGCACAGGAGCGAGATGGCCCTGCTTGTGCATGGACACCACGGCAATCGAGAGTTTCTCTTTGTCTCCAGCCATGGCTCCTGCCGTCCAGGTCTCAGGCCCACTGGATCGGACTGTGTCGGAAGCTCGCCCGGGGGCGGCGGCCGAGGGGGGTAACGCTGCCAACGAGGGGGGGTCACGCGGAACGGAAGCCATTCCGCTTTCCGACGATGCGAAGGCAGTCCTGGCATTGCAACACCACACTGTTCCGCGCCGATGCAGTCCGTACCACGGGTGGTCCTGGCAGACAAATGATGAGATGCATTTGGTTCCTACACCTTGCAAACTTAATGAACATCTACCAGCACCCTCCTGGCCAGGCTGTTAGTTGAGAGTTGTTGGACCCTGTCTCAGGTTTCTTTTTCGGTGACCTATAGAGTCGGGTCCTGGTTCTATACCTAGTGCAGCTATGCCCAGACGATGCGGCTGAACATCTGTAGAGCAGGGCGAGCGGAGCGGGTTCCGGAGCGGTTCGGGCCGTTTGGGCGCCCGGCCACGTGAACAAAAGACACCAGGGGGGTCGATCCGAAGGTCCATCACAGTTGGAAGGTGGAACAATCTTGTGGACTTTGAGCGAAACTGTGGGTACAGTCTGTTGGAAGGTGGGTGGTACAGAGGTACAGTCTGTTGGAAGGCGGCTGGTTTTGTGACGATTCGAGCCACACAATGCGAAACTACTCGTCTTGGTCCCTGATGAACCTTGTTCTATCTGTTGGATGTTCGGTGGGGAAAAAAACCATCGTACCGAAGTTACGCTGGTCCACTTTGTCCTAAAAAGGAGATCCTCTAGACCAAAAAAACACCGGACACGAAACCTGGCAATCCCAGAGAAGCAGTGGGATTCTTCACCCAAGAACTGCAATGAAACAGTATGAAACATTCATCAAATTCAGAAATCATCTGAAACCTCTGAAACCATCTGAAAATCCAGAAGCGCCGAATTGTTCATGCCTTGTCATTGTCTCATGAAGAGTGGAAGTCTCAAGTTCTTGAGCGCGCCCCGCGCGTTCTGGGCGCGTGTGGTGTCTTGTCTCGTGGATCCCCAAAAGTCGGTCATGACGAACAACAGTCATTACAGGCATGAGAACAACAAAAGCACTAACCATCTTGGTGTAAGTACTAACAATTGTTCTCAATGATGTGTTTTTGATGTTTTTCCTTGAGAATAACTTTAAAGATCTTTAAAGAAATCAAAAGCACTCACCATGTTATTGAAATGTCTTTTGGAGACAAAGGAATCCAAAAGAAAGACGTGTGTTCACCTGGTGGTTCGCTCCCTTCGCTCGTTGCGCCCTCCGATCCTGACGCGTGCGGTGCCGTGCTCCGTCGACAGCGACCTCGACGGTCGGTGCAACTGATCGAGCGGTGCTGTTTTGTTCCTTGCTGCGTTTTGCTCCTCATGTGTTTCTTATGTTTCACATCGGTTCACATCGTTTCACATCGTTTCACCGATTCTTCCGATTGTTTCACCTATTCTTTTCCAAGTTTGTGTCCTAGTTTCCCCAGTTTTCCTGTGAGTGTCTATGGTTCTTGTTTTCGCTGCTTTTCACCAGCCTGTCCGTTCTTAGTGGTTCCCTATTTTTGATTTGTTACCAGTTGTCTTCTCTAGTTCTTACCCATTTGTTGGCCACATATTGCAATGCTAGCCTTCGCTTATTTGTGTGTGTTCTTCTATTGTTTTCCAATTTTTTTCCTAGTGTTTCCTAATTTGGAAAAATGAAATTGTTTATCGATATATAATCTCCGATTATATGTGTATATATATATATATGAATGTTGTCTGTCTGTATCAACTGAATCAACTGTTTTTGCACAACTGATCAAAACAAGCCTATGTTCCCGGGTTGTGGCTTGCGTACGATTCGGCGTTTGCATTGACCCTCAAACAACAAGCTCAGATTATACAGCCAATGAATGCTTGCTGAATCGCTCTGCAGCTAACTCCAGGCAACCAAGGAGCCGGCGTTCACTGCTTCTTATTCATTCTCAGCTCTGGCCGCTGGCCAGGTCGAGTGGAGTTTGACCTTGGCACTCCAGAAGAAAGCAGCTGGAAGGTAAGGGGGCAAACCCAGCAACCGGTTTTTAGCTTGACCCATATCAACTAGATCTATCTTCAAGATTCTTGAAGTAATTTGCTGCGACTCTGAAAGCCACCCACCCACTCCTTACCAAATCAAAATCTCTGAACTTGTACCTTGGAAACTGCGCTCTAAATGACAATAATTGGACTTGCACCCAGTAAACCCCTGTTCTGACCTCGACATCATCAAAAGAAAAAAACGTTCTGACCTCAACTGAGGCGCCCCTCCGCTCTCTCCTCGAAGACGAAATCGCGGAAGGTGGTGAAATCGCGGAAGGTGTGGAAGTTGTGCAAGTCATGCAACTGGCAAAGGGACGAAGCAAATGCATACAACTGGCATACAACAGCATATTGACAATAGCCTTGATTACAAACAAAAGGTGTGTTCTGAAATTCACAACCGCTCTTTACTGAGCTGGTCATGGGCGGTTGCGCATATAGTGTGTTGATTGGTTTTGTTAGTTTTGCTTTGATGAATTGGACGCTGTTTTAGTTTGGACATGTCACTTTCCAACATGTTGGGGACCCCTCTCACCTGCAATGATTCCCCACATACTGCCTCCAACAACTTCTGAGTATATCTGTGTGCCAAGCGTTCTCTGAGGATCAAACCCCCTCGGGTCCGACCAGCTGGTGGTTTTCCACGCGGCCAACAGCGGCCAACACAAACACTCCCAGCCACCTGGGGAAATTGGGGGCCTCAGAAATGTACAATGTCTGGTTCAGACTTACAGGATCGCTTGCTTTGTACAGACCTGGCCCTATTGGTCTCTGGCCCTGGAAAACGCCGTTCTTCGGCGTACCTGTGGACTTCACGTGTGCCTTTTGCTATCGTATATCTTATCCATTCAAATCCCATTCCAAACAATTCATATATCAACTGGTCGCTCGCTCGCGCTCTCTCTCTCTCTCTCTCCAATTTGCTTGATGAGTTTGGTCCAGTTTGCTTGTTTTGATGCTTTGGACGTTGTTGAGTTTTGGACATGTCAATGTCCAACATGCTGTGAGCACCCCCTTGCCTGCAATAATTCACCATATATATAATACCATATATTATGTCTCCAACAACTTCTGAGAATATCTCGTGGAACTTGTTCGTGTTTCTCCTGGTTTCCTCAAAACAATCTGGAGGAAATCGCACTTCGCAGTTTATTCTTCACATCCAATGTCCATTCACCCAAACACCAAACCTTCCCGAAAAGGCCAACCGCCTTTCCTACCCGACCCCACCACCACTCGCTTCGGCTCCCACCGCAGCGCCGGAGCCCGCACCTCCAGCGCCGCGGTAGAGCTGTTCCAGGTCCCGGCACTGGCGCAGAGGTTCGTTGTGGGCGAAGAGCTCTCCCAAAGAGCTGAAACAAATGAGACGTGAACTACGACGAGAACATCTGAGAAAATGGAAAAGCAAGGATACAAAGAACAAAGACCAAAGAGACCACAGACCAGCAAGACACTTACCATGTGATGAGGCAATCCAGGGTAGCACAGCTGTTAGGTTGGGCCATGGAGCGGTGGAGAGTAAACAAAAAGCAGCTGAGACCAGCTGCAGGAGCTCTTTTGTGATGAAATAGATCCACCCCGAAGCAAGCAGCTGCCAGTCTGCGTGTTCCCAACAGGGAAAAGTTAACTTACTCGAACAGGTATTCAAGGTCACCCGTTCCACATAAAGTCGTTTGGGGTCAATGCATATCTTCTGCACGGACTTGATGGGAGGGACTTGGTTCGCGGCAGCCAGGGAAGTTAAGTTGTTAAACCGGCATGACCAGGCGAGTCGCTTTGTTTTTTCGAGAGTTGGGAGCCTTTGCAAAGAGAGGACTTGGACAAGAAGAAACTTCAATAGGTCACGCCAAAAGCGAACCTTCCACTAGGAGGAAGGAAGGAGGTGAATTCGAGCTTTGTCGATCTTTGCAGCTGTTCAAGGATGATCCCCGAAGACCGAGCCGCCCATCTTTGGGAAAAAGCTGCTGGTACCAATCATGCGGTGAATTCCACTCGGCAAGCTGCTTCTTGGTGCACAGGTGCTTCAGCTCATCATGTCAAGTGCGATGGACGCCCTGAGCAGCACCACCTCTGCAACGCACTGAGAAAGGGAATCCCTGCAGAACGAAACGCAAAGGGCCATGAAATTCCCCAACTTACTTGGCATGAGCTCCCGAAAAACGTGAGGCTATCTTCCGGTTCTATCTGCCAAGCATCCAAGCAAATCATTCCGCTAGCCGAGTCCGGGACGGTAAAAAAGGGCTATACAAGTCCAGGAGTCTGCAAGAACATGCGGACAGACACAGGCACGCCCTGATGACCTGGTACGAAAATCGACCGCCCTTTGGCGTCGACGAAGACTTGGACGTTTGGAGACAGACTTGCTCAAGGACCCCAAGTGTCCCACGCCTCGGATGCCAAGTTAGCAGCCACCTCGGCGACCTCGGTGTCGGACTCCGTCGATGGACCAGGTCACGCCTGACTCCGTCGACACGTTGGATCCACTGTCAGCGGTCAATGTCTTGAAGTGATCCAGTTGGAAGGAGAGTCCAACAGGTTCAAAACCCAAGCCAAACCTCAGAACGTCCACTCATTGAAGAAAAAGAACAAAACGTTGCAAAACACCAAAGATTTTGATGCATGATCGGCTTCTGGATCATGCACTCAGGTGATGAAACCATCAAAACCTGCGCATTCTGTTCATGTGTTGAATGCATCGGCATGTTTTTTCATGTTCATTCTGCTCTTTTGGATATCCTCACTAAGCGGATACTTCAGAAATGGCACTGCAGGCCGATTGGCTCAGCGCCGAACTATTGGCCTTCACTGTTGATTGTCAAAGGTGGAAGCTTCTATGGAACAAATTTGTGTTGACTGCTTGGGCCTTGTCTTGATGCGAATCAAGCGTACAACATCAGGATCCCTAATATGGTGAAGCGACCAATGGGTGTTTGATTTGGAAACAGAAGTGTCTCAAACGATTCATCTGCTTCGGAAATTTGTCGAGCTGAGCTGCAAGCGCTGCAAGTTCAGGCACTCGGAAAAAAGAAACCCGTGAAAACGGTGAACACCTACCTAACCGTGAAAACCTACAGGCTAACCTACAGACTAAACCGGAAAACCTTCTAGCTAACTGGCACCATCTCGTCCAGAAGAGCGGTAGCAAGGCTGAATTCTGTTCTTCCCCCGTGAAAGCCATGGAAGCCACCGAAGCCACTGAAGATACAAAAAAGTCACAGAAAAGACGGTTACAAAAGGTCAAAGCCGAAAGCCACAAACGCCACCAAAGCCAAAACCACTGTTTCACATATCAAAAACGGTCACGAGATTGTGTGGTATTTGGCAAACGCTGCGTATTTCTCAGAATCGTCAGAGGATGACGCTTCTCGCAAAAATGAGGAACTCAACTTACTGGTCCAGAATACACGGGTGGCCGACGACCAATTCCAATCGTCGAAGCGAATGGAAATAAACCTTCATTTTGCAGGGCGTTTTCCAAAGACCTCGATCCTAGAACTATAAGCAACTGAACAAACGACTCACCTCGCCACATACTTCTAAATGACAGGAGATCCAAACCCCTTCTGGTCCCGATTGACAGCCGCTTGACTTCCAAAACCAAAATATCCCACCATCCACTCTGATTTGCTTGCAGGGCCTTTGACTTTGGAGGAGGTCCCGACCTTTGGAAGGCAGACGGCAAACCATCTTTCTTGAGGCCCTGGCGCTCCGGGGCGGTGGGGGCTTTCTCTGGTGGCGCCCGCCGCCGCAGAGGCGCGCGCCGCAGACGCGCCGGAAGGAACCTCTCAGGACTCGGTGAAGATCTGCACAAATGAAAACAAGTTGAATCACCTGGAAAGGGCGTTTGTAGTGAAGTTCCCTCCAAGAAGTGGACACTAAATTGGTCTGCCCTGCGTGCATGCCAGCTACTGTGGCTGCCTTTGCCAACTCAGCAGAGTCGCAAACGGCAAACGAGTTTGCATTGTAAGCTGAGATGCACGAGGATACCCAGCTGTAGGTGTCTACTCTTCGCAGCCCCAACACTTGCCATGGTGCAGAGATGAGTAGTTTACTATAGTCACAGTCCGTAGTCTGAACGTGGAACAAACACTCTGCAAACTTCAAACAATAAGCTGCGCGTCGTTCGCTGGGTACCACACGGTCCTCCGTCACACTGGGCACCCAAACGCTTGGCCAAAATCAGCAAGGCCACACCTGCCCAGTGTTGGGGCTGTGTGCTCGGCCCATGGTGCTGCGGCTCCCAAATCGCCCAATACTTCAGGAAGGAGTTCTGTCAAAACCATTGATCAATGGCCTCAGTCTTAGAAACCGGCCTGCGCGTGAAAATCCTCAAACTCTTGTTTTATCTCTTTTTTGCGATCCAAACTGCGCAGAACCTCTAGATTACCACACCATTGACAGTAAGACTCATCATGTGATGTACTCCACAAAGTCCAAGCCGGCACGTTTCAAAGCCCAGATCATCAAACCGCCGGCGATGCTTAGCAAAGGTGTCGCTGCCACCGAAACGCAGCCCATGGTAAGAGTAAAGCAAAAGAATTTGAGGCTGTAGGGCTTGTGCATGGAATACTGAACCAGGTGCCGGCACACTTGTTCTGGTTCTGGTTTTGGGTTAGACCTGAGGGGTGACAAGAAGCCTTCATCAAGGCGTGCCGCAACAGATCGTGAACTCTGCCTGCTAAGCGCCCCATCGGCATCTGTGTCTTCAGGTTTCTCCTGTCCTTCCGTCATACATAAACGTTGAAGTTGGTCCATGCCACTTTGAAGCTCAATGTTCACCAAGTTGCCCAAGACTACATAAACAAGCAAGATTATGGCAGAGACCAACCCATGCGCAACAGCATAGCACATGTTGCTGAACTTGTCTTGACTGAAATGTGCCGTGGCGGCCAGCAAACCCGAGGCCAGTGAAAGGAATAAGCATAGCAAAAGGATCACGTTTCGCTTCTCCAAATTGAACTTGATATCTGCAAAGAGGGCTGCTCGAGTCTGGAACCACCAAATCAGACTTTTGTCTGGTTTGAGACTTTGTGGAAAGGCGTGGCTTGCAAAATGACGCAAGCACCGCTTGTTGCTGACCCTCTCGCGGATCTGGTACAATTTTTGCAGCAGCAGGGCCTGGTACTCTGGTTCCTCTTGGTTGTAAAAAAGCAACAAATCATTGAGAGCATGCAAGGAATTCTTGGCTACATGAAGGTGGTAGCAGGCAAGAACCAGAACAGCCTGGCAACCCACAAAGAAGAAAGTCGATGTAAAAAGTGCTACCTCTGTCCTGATCTGGTCGCTTCCATGCACGCAGGACCAACCTTTGTGCCAGATGTCCGGCATGTTTGTCATGGCATGCCAACCACGGTGAAGGACCGCTTCCGCCAGGTCAGGCAGCACCAGAAACAAAGCACTAAAACTGCTTCCGTGCTGAACTGCAGCGCAAATGCCCAGCAGGAGCACAGGCAAAATGCACAAAGTGCACAATGTAATGGGATGCCTGCGCTGCATGGTGCTTGCATCCGTTGACAAAAGCATCGGTGGTCTTTGCCTTGACTCACTCGGAATAAAGAGAAGAATGGGCTCTTTGGCATCACCAGCCTTAAGAATCTTTCGGTACTGGTTCCGATCTTGCCTTCCATTTTGCGGCACCGCAAGTCTCAGATGCCATTCCCCGTCTTCCTCCAGCACTGACAAAGGCTCAAGAACATGATGGCCATCTGGGCTGTAGATTAACATCACCGTCACGCCTTCGAGCTCTTTCGCTGCTTCTCCAGTGACGACAGATTCTTCAAGATCCTCACTGGAGGAATCAATGCAAGAGAGCGCCGTTCTACTAGTGCCAGGATGATGTTCCTTCCGCATTTTGCTCTCAAAGTCAGATGACTCGGAATGTTCTGATTCTGAGTCAGAATCCTCAGCCTCGTAAAGGCCATAGAAGTCAAGATCCAAAGGCTTCTCGTTGGAAACCGATTCAACTCCAAGGACCAGGAGCTTCCCTTGAGGCGACTGACCCCAAATCTGGGGGGCACCAACCAAATGTTTAGAAGGCCGTCCAAAGACGTATTCAACATATTTCCAGTTATCGTCATCTGAAGCTCCACAAGTTTTCTTGAGTTTGCAAATGCGATCGAGCGCTTCTGATGTCACCACGAACCAAAGAGCTGCAAATGGACTGGAATACTGCACAAATTTCTGGTTCCAGGTATAGGTGCCACGCACATGCCCTATCCCACAGCTGTTCCAATCATGGTCAGAGTCCAGATCTCTTTGAATCAGTCTCATAGCTCCACCAACACACAGGCCCAGTATCCACCAGTTTCTGATGTAAAAGGCTCCCAGGATGCCGCCCAGGGAAAGGCCCATGCAAATGGATTGAATAAGCTCAATCAAACGAGATGCGTCCAACTTCTCAAAGCCGAGATTCAACCACCGAGTAGCATAGTATCCAATGGCACACCATAGTAAGAATCTCAAGACATCCAGAAACCCTGATCCCGAACATATTTCGTCACAAAGATGTGTGCGATCTTCATCTAGTTTCCAAGCAGATAGAGGCAATCCAGTCAAAGTCCCATCTGTGTTCTGTGTTTTCAGTTGGTTCCATCGGTTTTTTCTGGTAGCTGTCGAATCGGAACCTCGTGGGTCACGATCATTCAAAGGTGCCATGGAAACGATGGAAAATCGATCCCCCACCTCTTTGGGCCGGAATGCTCAATCTCAGATCTATCACCCACCTCACAGCAGGAGTTTCTTGGTATCAGTAGTCTTCAGTAGTCGAAACCATCTGTGATCGAGAAAGGGTGTGAGTGGAGGCACCTTCGTTTGGCACCTTCAAAAGCTTACAATGAGAAGATGCAGAATAGTAGCCACAACAGAATGCATATCCGCATTTCAAGGGCATGCTGACAGTTGGATGAGGCCAAAAAAAAAGCAGAGTCCTGTTGCAGTCCGGACCTGTACCGACTTGGGGCGAGTCTCAGGTCAAGACCTGGGGCATCTTGCGGCACAGGATCTGCAAGGGGACATGTATTTGGTGCGTTGGAATCGTGACTCACGATGAAAGCAAAACACTCTAGCGTGGGCACACAAACATGATTAGATGATTAGCATGAAGAGTGAGCAGAGTGTTGCCAAGAGACACCGTGATTCCAACAATGCCTTCCCAGGAAAACAATATTTTGGTGGGCAAAAAAAGGCAAACAGCATCATTGTGCCTTCTGGATAATAGCCATCACAGGTCCACTTTGATGGATTCAAAGAACCGATTCAGCACAAGCACCTATCAGCCAAAGCATCTGGGAAATCGCAGGAGCCAGCAGCGAACACAAAATTGTCTGACACTCCCTGTCTTCTGCTATCAAAATTGGTTCCAGGACTCTGCAACGATTGATTTCAGCACAAACAAGTATATAGACAGGGCAAATTGAGTAGGGAGCGTTAGTCAGCAGCCTTCGCCCTTTACAGCTTCAGTTTTGTACGCCCGGTGGCCCGGTGGTTCCAAGATGTTCCTAAAAAGCATTGAAAACCTACAAACTTCCGGTCCAGAAGTGCTTTTACAGCAAGTAATTGGATGTCAAGTGTAGGACTACACCCTTGTCCAGCGTCCCCACGCTGCATGAAAGCCAGCGGAGAAGCTGATCAGCTGATCCATTCCAAAGAAAGGCTCTTTAAAAAGGTGCAATCATCCACCCCACTTCACTCCCACCCGGCCTCATCAGATCGTCTTTCCAAGCCTCGCCATGCAGGGCACGGCAGCTTGAGCAGGGGACGCCACTGGGTGGACAGCACCTGCCATGAATGAGTCCGGGTCATACCCTCCACGGACCTCGAGTCAGACAGTACGGAGAGATCCAATTGCTCAGTCTCCAGCTCTGGCGACGTCACACCTCGAAGACCTCCAGGCGACGCAGTACGGAGAGATCCATATCGAGTAGAAAAGGCCGAAGCCACGAGTTCTGCTCAACGTGCTTGTATATTTCAGCATGTTCCTGCCATGGCATTATTTTCTGCTTCACAGGAAACCAGGATTGCTCGTGCACATCAACCTTCCAATATCTTCCAATCTGATCTTGTTTGGAGAAGAACACAAACGATACGGCAAACGCTACGCCGCTGCATCGACCCGCCTCAAGCGACCCACCTCAAGGCCTCTCCGGAGGCAAATTCATCGGCAGCTAAATTCCGAAGCCAGTCCTCAAATCGCCGAAATCTGCAAGCGATCGGTGAAGAAATACGTCAAAAATTGCCAAGCAGTCAGTTCTGAAGACGGAAACCCATTCCGCTTCATGACACCTGAGAGGTTGGCCCTAAAGTGGCCTTCTTTCAGTGAAGGCAGCGCAGTACATCCAGCCACCGTTCCATGTCTGGTGCTTGGAACGGACGTCTTTGGCACATCGTCGGGGCTCGAAACCTTGGACCATGAAGCGAGGAGAGCCGTGACCGAGCCTTAGGGATAGGGAGAGCCTGAGCCTTGCACCGCATGGGACTTGCCACACATCCTGACCAATGGAGGAACACTGCTACGTACCTCCCCAAAGCTGGACCATTTGGAGTCAAGAAGACACAGTTTCTATAACACAGCCGAACCTCTGTCAGCTCATCACTGATTCTTCTAGAGAGGCAGTGGCAGGGCACGCAGCATGCGTAAAATATTGCTACTCGAAACTGGGAGCAGACTTTGGAGGAGGGGAGTTCCATAGCAGATCCACATAGTAACGATCAGTTCCAAGCTCCCCGCCATGGGAGTGGAGCCAAACTCCCGGCCTTGAAGTCATTCATTAGATCTCTCGGAGTCGGATGCGCCTGGATGCGGCCAGCGTGCTGGTCACAATCGATGAACGTCTAGCTAGCACGACTTGCAAACGACTTCCACACCAAGTGCAGCAGCTACCTTTGAACTGCATGCCTTCTTTCTTGGAATCGGAAGTGGACTACACATCAAACATTGTCGAGTTCTCTGATAGATCAACCTTGAGACAGGTCACCGGCAGCTTCAGCCACCGATACGACAAAAAAAGCATCCAGCCAATCGATGTTGGTTTCCGGGTCCTCTGTGTTCTCCGCTCCGGATGCCAACTTCACGGAGCGGAAAAGGCGATCCCAGAAATTGCAACCAAGGTGCTCAAGTCGAATTTGAAGAGGTCAGAACCTGGGTCTTGCTGGCCTCCGCCTGAACAGAGAACTGGCAGACATGTCTTTAAGCCATGTGAGTAAACAAGCATGAGCCAAAGCCGGGTGACCAAACAAACCTGAGCTACTTCGTAGAGTACTTAGGTGGGAGCATACCAACCGGTTGTCCGCTGTTGATAGACGCTAGGAGGAGATAGAACGAATCGCCAGCTTTACATTTTGGAGTGTCAAATATTCAAGCTAGGCGGCCTGACAGATTGCGGAACGTGTCCAGTGTGGCGACTGGTGATTGAGAGAAACCTGATGAAATACGTCAACCGACCGGAAGCATTTAGGCACCCCAAACACATGCTCCTTGAATCAGTCGCGTCAGTCTGTTCTGGCAAAGGAAGCAAGAATCGGAGCGCTGTGTGAAGGCTGGTGTGGTGCCTCAGCTCGCTCTTCCCTGAAGAAGTGGTCCAGGAAGTCCTTGCCACCTCGTGAAGCTGCCCAAAAGCACTCTGAAGGATTGCGATATGACAGAGACATGTCCACATGAATGGATTTACTCAGAACAACCAGTGTCCCTGTGACCTTGTGACTTGAAGCTGAGCCACACCTGCACCGGCTCACTGTGTCGATCTCAGTTGTGTCTCATGAAGGACAAATTGGGTCTCAGAACGGAGCAGAGAGGCCCCTGTTGCACAGCCCTGGCACCCGGTCGCACCCCGGTCGCACCCCGTCGCCTGTGCTGAAGCTGGTGGATCGCCTGTTGTCGCATGAAACAAGAAAGCACAAGTAAACTTAAAAGTAACAACTGGTTCTGGCTTGGCAAGAAGTTGCTTTCCCTTTGCTGTCTTGGAGTAGATATATCATTCAATGTGTTTTCATGTTTTTGTTCTATCCTTCAATTCATGATGAACTCTGGAATCGATTCTTGAAAGGAGGCTTGGACACGGGTTCCCCATGTTCAATGCGAAGGGCCCAACGAACACAGGGAAGAAACGCCCCAAAGGCTTGTGGATCTAAAGGCAACGTCCATAATTGCTCCAGTTGATATGCAGTGACATCGTGACGTGTCTATGCATGGCTCACATCGTCATCTACTGATAACTGCCAGGGGTCGTGCTACTCAACTATGCTTCCCTGTCCTACTCGTCTGACCCACAGCATCATCGCTTCGCCCCGTCGGAATTGCTGCCTGCCTTCCATCGCTCAACTGCACAGAAGCGCCGCTGATCGCTCCACGCTCCGCAGGGATGTCATCCAAAGCCTTCCATTTCCAATCCTGGCATTTTGCGATGGGATTCTGCTGCGCAGCGCGCTTGAGACTCGATTGCCGTATCGTTCGCTATCAACAAATCTCACTGTTACAGCCTCTGCTGGATCTACCTTAAGGTAGGCCAATAGCCATACGCAGCCAAGATCAACCAGACCTGTAAGAATTGATAATCTCCGCTCCAGATGCCATGAATCTCACTCAAAATCACTCAAGTGCTTCCCACAGTCTGACATCTGAGAGAGAAAGGAAAAGAACTCTCGGCAATTGCAACCACCATGCTCAAGCACAAGTGGAGGAGGTAGGAGTCAACTCTTCAATTTTACAGAGAGAGCATCTACATCCGTGGCAACCTGCCAACTACTAGAAATCTTGGGACCAGCTACAGCCCACCCCTCGTTCTGCCTCATTGCCTTATTGCACATCCGGTGGACCTGAAAGCGTCCAAACCGCAGTACAAGGACTTCTTAGATGTGTGAGTGTGACAAAAACGAGTCACGCGCCACGCCTGGCGAAGGTCGCGATTGCCTTCCGAAGCAGAGTCCTCCAAAGGCCGCTGGCAGCCGCCAAGTTGCTCTCGTGGCGATGGGCACACTGCCTGGCACATTCTTGCTTGAGACTGACAGCAAGCAGCTGGAGTGAGTACCAAAACGCACAGAACTCATCCGAATTATATAATAGCAAACCCGTAGATTGCTTGGGTGGAAGCTTGCTACGTCCACAAAAAATCTAACCAGCGAGCTGTCCTTCGTAGCTTGGGAATACCTTCTGCACCATCAAAAAAACAAATCACAGGTTTTGAAGCAACAGGCTCCGCGGATTGACTCATGTTCAAAGCCGCGTTTGCATGTGTCCTCTTAGTCTTGATGTTGTGTATAGCACAAGCGTGCGCAAGCCAAATGGATGCCTATAAGCACCAAAACATCGGAAAACCTTCAAATCCCATCAAATCTCCAAGGCCTTGTCTGATTGATATCCCACCGGTGTCAGTTCTTTACACCTGCAAAAGTGTGACAGGGGCATTTTGAGCGGTCATGTGGGTCACATCATGCACCTTTGCAGCGGTTGACCCGAAAATGTGGGAAACCTGAGAAAATGGTTAAGAGCCAAGAGAATTTGACAGCCAACATGCTGCATACATACTCTACAAATCCAAATGAGGCTGCGAAGAACATTCCACAGATTGGCGCAGTGCCAGCACGGTGGAGGTGGAGTAAACTACATTGGGAGTTCGTAGCAGGAATGGCTTTGCGTACAGTTCACATGGTCGCAACTGCTTCGTGTGTATACATCCGGACAAATCACAGAGAGTTGCAAAAACCTTGCTTTTCACTCAGCGAACCAATCTAAGCCTGGACTTGAGACGCTCCACAACTTGCTCGAGGGCGCCGAGCAGGTCTTTGGCCTCCATCTCCTTGGCCTTCAGCCGCTTCTCCAGCTGAACCTGGCAAGGTCATACCGCCTAGGTACCCAAATCAGCCAATCCCGATGCCGAGAAGAGCCCACAAAATCACTGCGATCCGCTGGAGCCCTGCCATGCGCCTCGCCAGCGGACGCATCAGGTTCGGCGAAGACGACGCATCGCTCGGGGAGAATTGGCTGGATGAGAATCCATTCGATGTGATCATTAAAGTGTATAAGCAAGGTGGGGTGACAACGAGAGCAGCGGTGCGCAACGAGTTCATGCAATGGTTCCAATTCTCGAGCCAGCTTCTTGCATTGAACTTGCGAAATATGACACAGGCAACTATAGGCATGCTTATACAGTGTAGGCATTCGTTTGCTCACAAGGCGGCTAGTGTCACACCCAAAAAACCATTGGCGGTTCCAATGTCAAGTCCCTCGATGGTCTGAGTCTGACTGGTCCTTTTTTCATGCCTCGATCGATTCTCAGGGCCATCAAAAAGGGCCATCAAACGAGGTGAAGCATGTGCTGCGCATTGTTTACTTGACCTTCAAGTGTGGGCGCTCAACATCTTTCAATCAAGCACCTGTGCTCAAATAGGTTAGAATTTGAGATGCCCATCCCTTCACACTCTGTCAACCTAATTACTGGCTTCCTCTTTCTCAATGAAATGTAGGCAAAACCTGCTTTGCTCGTTATGACTATATACAACCACCTAATTTCATTTGAAGGATTGTCACACTCTGATATAGGCAGCAGTTGATTATGACACCGAAAATCCAAGATCTGAAAACTGCTACAGTATTGCAAAGTGTATCATGAGCTAGCTGCTTTGGCTAGCTACTTGAGTCAGGCAGCGCGCCTTGCTTCAATTTCTAGTCAACATCGGAATCGGCTTCTCAGCTGTTTTGAACCAGGTCGGTCAACATCAGCGGAATGTCATGATCGTGACCAGCAGCACATTGCCTGCAACCCATGATACACGCTCAAAAAAGTCTTGGGCAAATCTCCCCTGAGAAGGCTTGGCACATCTATGAATTCAGGCCATCTTTGCCCTCTTTTGTTGAGTTCTGAAACCTGTGATGAGAATGCAAAGTGTTCATGGACAGGGCAGAGAAACTGCCAGGAAGATCTGGTGTCTTGGAACGCATACAGTTGCGTTGGAAACTCAAGGAGCCACATTTATGTGAGGCTTCGAACAAAGGTCCACTCACTTTCTGACGACACACAGGTGGCTTACGTTGGAGGAGAGCTCTCGCACATGGAAGGGTATTGAAAAGAATGCGGTGCCTGGAGCTTTTTGTTGAAAAATACAATTGCAAACTTTGCTTGTGCCTAATACCAAATTCCTGCAAATCCTTTTCGTATGAAAATACAAAATTCCCACAAAACGCTCTCCACTCTCCATGGTTGGTTTGCGACTCTGCATCCAGGATGCCGATGCATTTCTCTGCACTTCTGCCCAAAGCCCATTCAGGCTTCCTGCGAACACCTCTGCAGCTGCCTCGTGCTGTGATGAAAGTCAATCAAGCAGGGCAAAGGATTTATGTATGTATATATCTTCACTCCTATGAAAGGCTGTGACGGACAGGGACCGCAAGTCGCGCTATGTATGTATATATATATATATAACTAGTTGCCAAAATATCCCTATCACATGCACTTCTAATGCACGACATGCCTCCTAGGCATCTGAGAGAGGCTTCTCTGAGTGGGAGCTGCTTTTGGCTTTCATCTTTTGGAGCTGATCCCGGCCTTTCTTATGTCATGGATAACATCAATAAAACCCGCATCAAACCGGGCCTCCAGTGGTTGCTCTTCCAACAAAGGCGACAAGACCGGCTCTGCCAAGTCCCAAGACCTGCGCGGAGACCCTTCGCCGAACCTGTGACGTTCCCGGCTCAGCTCGAAGGGTTCACGGAGCACGTCCGGCGCGCGCTGGCCCCAACTTGGGTGGTCCGGATGCACGGTGCCCGGACACACAAAATGGAGCCCACAAACCCAAACGCAAACACTTCCTCAAAAATAGACACCCAAACAATCTTTGGCACTCTTGTAGACTGTTGGAAGACATTGGCGGAAAAGAAAGGAACACCCTTTCAACTTCGGCGCAGACGTTTTCGATGGTGGACTCCTATGGGGTCTGAGGGGTGAAGTGGACATGTGAGCTAGCTAGGCCAGCTTGGCATACTCCAAGTGAAGTGGACATGTGAGTCTCATGACACGTTGTGGGAATGAAGGGCTGATGAACCTCTGGCGGATGAGTAAACGCTTGGATGCCTGGATGAAGCCTCTCTTCTTGGGAAATGAAGAGATGCTGGCAGTGAAGTGATTGGAAGACCGTGCACAAACAACGACCCTCCAGGTTGCGGCAGTGCTACAACCGTGCTTCCAAATCTGATTCAGTACTCTTATGTGCTTGGTTGTTGCGCCGACCTTGATCAAAACGAGCCTTCGGGCGTTCAGTGTCTATAGCATTGACGGGCATTGCAAACAAAGGATGGCTCAGAGGCTGGAGATTCACTAAGGCAAACACGAGTGAGAAAACAAGAATCTTTAAACGAACCATGTATGAATGATATATCGGCATGCTCGGCATGCGCGGCATGCAGGTTTCAAGGCTTGTTGAGGTCATGCGCTGCCTCCAAGCAGGTTTTGGTTTGCGAGTTGACATCCGAGCTGCACCGCACCTGGATGCCAAGAGTTCCACGAGCTCCGTCAGGTTGGGAAGCACTTCGTCCGCTTTCATTGGCTCTACCTGATTGAATTATAAGGTGTGAAGGCCTTGAAGGGCAAACATAAGAAAAGGTGAGATGCCAAGAAAGCAAAAACATTACCTGCCTTCAGCTGCTCCTTGCTGGAGAGTGATGCAATGCAGTCAATCCTCTTAGGAAGAAGAGATCCCTGCAAAGCTGCAAAAGTGTCCGCCTTTTGTTGGAACTTTGCAATATGCCGTATGCCCATCTGCAACCAGCTTGCAACACTCAAGTGATAGCAAATCTATAAGGGACACATGTCTTACCTGGCATTTGTGTTTCACCGGAGATTGCTTACTGTGATAGAAGCCTCACATGTGTTAACCTGATGACTGATGATTTACTTTTGGGTCAGCCATCGAAAACACTTGCACACAAACATGCACCGCAACTTGAAGCGAGCCTGGCATAAGTTGGTTGGATACGAAATTGGAATGAAGTGAACATTCTGCAGCTTCCCTTTGTGCTTCATCAATGGACGGATAGCCTCTGCGGTTGGAAACCAATCAACACATATCATAAGACTTAGGACAGCTAGGGCGAAGTGGATTTTCAAATTGCCTCGTGACTTGTGGCAGGTCGGTCTAATCATAATGTCATTGAAAGGAACAACGCATACAAAAGAGAAAGTTGCTACAAAACATCAAACACCTGCAGAAAAATGTATCTACAGTTATTGCCAATGAGGGAAGCCTCCTCTGGGAAGTTGAGGTCGCCGGCAAGAATGGTCGGAATGGCTTCATAAGCATCCTGCGGGGGTCAGTGTCATCCAACATGATGTTCAGCAAAGATATGTTCAATTGACAGGTGTTTCGATCCGTTGTCATTAACCTAACCATTCCCTTGAAACTCAAACTGCATGGCAGGACTTGCTCTGCTCCTTCCGCTGGGCCACAAAGTCACAGAATTCACGCCGAGCCCTGCCATAAGGTGCACCTGGAAGGTGCCTTGGTGCATCAAAAGCAGTGTCTTCTGGAGTGATCTCTCCCAGTTTGAGCTCTTGAAGCCGTTTGGTCACTTTGGTCCTGCACTTAGATTGAAAGCCAAGTTTGACAAAGTGCCCACTCTCTTTCTTTTTTCTCAGGCATCCGGGCGTTGTGATAATCCGAAACTTCCGGTCTCCATTCTTCAGCTGCAAGACAACTTCTGTGACCACCTGCGAGAAACATTGCGTCGATCCCGCAGAAAATGGTCATTCAATATATCAAACGAAGTGATTGGACGCTCCCAAACGAAGTTCCAGGCAGTGATATTGCTTTGCGAAAATGCACTACTTCCAACTGTCTCGGTTGTGACATCCCAGGAAAAGGAATCACAATGTACATCAAATGGACATCACAAGTCAGGGCGGCTCTGAACGGCTCTGTTGCAAAAACAGCGATGAACAAGTTGTCTTGCCGGTCTTGAACGTATCAAGTCAAAAGCGATCAGCCTTCCCCTGGTCTGGTTTAAATGGGTGATGACGGTCAACGTCCAAAATCTGAAGAGTGCCGCGATCCACAATTATTGCCTTGCGCAAATGTGCGGGAAATGTTCAACCAATGGTTCGGAAACTTAATTGTGCAGCATATCGCATTGTTCGTGTATTTTCCGCTAGGATTGATGATGATTGATGGCTAGCAACTTACTGAAACATGGCTTGCTGCAAAGAACAGGCTCGGGCATATGTATGTATATATATATATATACATAGTTGCTTTGTACTACCTCGCAACCTACCACGTTTCTCATGCTTCCCCCACGTTTCGAGCTGCGCCTCTTGGTTGCGGACCTCCTCGTCAGCACGGAGCAATTCTAAGCGGCTTGGCATCCTCCCTCTCAGCCGATTCAATAGTGCAGGCCAGCACTCTTGAAGGCACACGATGCCAACCCGCCGCTCGAGTTCTTCTTTCTGGATGATCTGCATGACTTTTCCACATATATCATCTGTCCTTTCCTCTTCACTCTGTGAACAAATATTGGAACCCTTCAATCCCTGCGAATCATTCAAGATATACTTCATGTAACGCTGATTCAGTACATTCCAGGACACCAAATGGAGGTTCATGCCGCTTTTATCTGATATTCTACACCCAATCGGAGGGTGGTCGGATGGGAACGTCCACCTTCCATGCAACGCTTTGGACACGGGACTTGTGAATCTTGTCTGATCCCCAAGCCAGTTACTCACAACAACCTCGACGCAACAGCTCATCAGATCTTGAACTTGATGAAGGACATCCACTACATTCTTCACGTCTGCACTCGAAAAAGGTTTCAGAGGCTCCAAAAGCTGCATCACATCTTGTAAGGACTCGACGCCTTCTGCAGCAGCGGGGTCATCACTAGTGGAACGGCACTTTGTCTGAAGAACTCCCACATTCTCACCTCAGCGCATGGCAAGGACCCAAGAATGCTTGTAAGAAAACTGACAAGAACGAAACACATGTAGCTAAGGCAGGGGCAAAGAACATCTACATCCGCCAAGGCATCATCTTGCATCTGTTGTAAATCCTTATCCTTTGCAACCAGCATGTTGGTCAATGTCTCAGCATGCGCGGCTATTTGAGCCAGTTCCGCGACCCAATGCCGAAAAATGGGCTTCAGAGCTTGGAGCATTTGGAAATGCTGATCGACATGAAAACTCCTCTGGGCCATGAAGGCACTTCGCTCCCATAGGCGCTTCACCTTGGACAGCTGTCATCCAAGACCCTGGACCCCCCAATAAACGACGATCCCGACCCTGAGAAAACACCCGGGAAGAGCATGGCATTCTACAACCCAGTGGTTTTTGCCCTCTGACATTTCATATTCTGCTTTGATATTCTGACATTTGTGCAAGTTTGAATAAAACTGCACCGAGGCCTGGACATACTTCAAAGCTTTCGGATGCTCAGAAGAATATTCACGGATATTCATTTGAACAGCTTTCAGAAAGTCCTTTTCCTTCGTCACTGGCTGGATAATGTTCGAGCTTCCAACTGAGTATCCGAAACGGATCACGTTGGTCACTTCATAGAAATGCGCCGCATGGCTTGGCGCATTGCTAAAGAGGTTGACCTTCGCAAACACGTCGATCTTGGCGGTCCAGGAACCATGTCCCTGCTCCAATGCCTGGTACAATGGAACACCAGCCTTTTCGCCGTGCAAGATCTCTTCAGCTCTCCAAACCAATGTCTGTCTGTTTTCACCTTTGCCGGCTTTGAGCCCTGACCAGTGGCACCGGATTGGCCCCTTCCTCTCTGATTCCGTTAGTTTCTGGATGTTTTGGCACAGCGCTTGAATCTGCAAACTCAACTCCTGTAAGGCTTTTAGCTTGCAGTCAGCCTCTTCCCCTCCATCAACCTTGAGAACGACATACTCCTCAATGTCGACGTCACCAGGATACAATACATTCGCAAACCGGAAGCTGCCAAAGGGCCTGGAAAACTTCTGGAGGGAGGAGACGAAGACCATTTGGCACAACTCTGGACTAAGATCTTGAAGAAAACGTTCTTCCAACAGCTCCGAGATCTTCTCTGAACGAGCACAGGCCTGACAACGGCTGCCACACTCCAAATTGAGACATGGATTTTTCCTGAGAAAGCGATCTGCATCATCAACATCGTTGTCCTGCTTTGACAACTTGACTTGAAGCATCTGCTCCAAATCACCCATGCAGTGGGCAGTTCCTGGACTTGTGCTGGGTAGAGAAGCGAGTCCAACTGCACTTGAAAAGGCTTGCGCAAGGCTCGAGGCTTTGTGCCTGGCATCCTCAGCACCAGCTTCCGTCGTTACTTGGACCCGGAGTAGACGTTGCTTTGTCACCGGAGCCAGGGACAGTATGATGAAAGCATCGTCGGATCGCAGCTCAATGAAGTTTCGAAAGCTTTGAGGCGGAGCGGTCAGGTGAAGGAACTGACTTTCGAGTAGGAATTCTACAATCTTTGGCAATAGGTTTGCAAAAACGAAGCCTTCCAAGTTAATGTAAATAACAGCGCTGGAGTCTGCTGTCGACGGAGGTTCCGGCAAATATGTGACCGGAAGGCAGGACGGTACCGTAAATTCATCACAAACAGCTCGACGGACCATGAGACCCTTCTGCAACATGACTTCTAGCACCAACTCCTGCTGCGGTACAGTGAATTCTTCTTCCCAAACACATCGCAACAACTCCTTTGTCACAACACCGCTGGTTTGAAACCTCAAAACATCATCTGGAATCGTTTTTGTGGACTCTTGCAATCTTTTGCCAAATCTTTCGTCGTGTTCCAATTTGCTTTCCTCCCAAAAGCGCAGCGCCATCAGCTCTGCCAGAGCAATGGATAGCTTTCGGACATTCAAAGCTACTGTCTCTCTCAAACCATCAGCATCCAGCCAACAAATTGCACCTAAACAATGCATGAGCTTCAAAACTTTCTCTACTTCATTTCCCACCACAGGCTGTGGTCTCATGTTGGCCAGCAGATTGAAAACTTGTTCCAAGTCCAGGAAATCGCATGAAACCTCAATTTGCAGTGAAGATCCTTCATTCTCTGCAAGTGTCCAGTGAAGCGCATCAAAATCCCACTCGCCATCAGCCCTATATCCCATATCTCCAAGTAATGATCGTACCGTTGAGCCTTTTGGAGCCGTCACACGATGACCCCTTGGAATATGCCTACCGGAAAGGTCAAACTCGAGGTACCCTTTGCCACCTTTGCCTTTCCGTAAGCTTTCCACCAAGCACTTGTGCTCAACCTTCAGCTTCAGGCCTCCATCAAGCTGGCTCAAGAGTTCATGGGCTTGGATCCAGGCTATGGGATACTGTTCGGCTTGCAAACCAACATGCTTTGGCATCTCAGAACGAAACATTTTGGAGGGAAACCAGCGGTTCTGCTTCCAAGCCTCAGGTGTCATCATCACTTCCTCTGTAAGATTGCGAATTACCCGTCTCAAGCTTTGAATTTGGCTCTTTGTATTTTTGGAAAAATTATCCAAACAAATGAAACTCTTGACTCGACCCTCCAAACCTGGCATTTCCTTGATGAAACTATTGATGCGCTTCTGCAATTCTTCCTTGCGAAACTTGCTCTTTGCATATTTGGTGCCAACCACTATGATCGGTGGCAGCTTGGCTGGCTTGGCTCTCGGCTCATCTTGAGGACCGTCGGTGGCATAGCGGCAAACCGACCACAACCAGAACTTGAGGTCTTTCCAAGCCTCCTCAAGCTCCACGCTCATGTCACTGAAGACAAGATAGATTCCACGGCCATGAAAATAGATCAGATTGATAAGCGCATATTCTTTCTGGCCTGGGAAATCAAAGCACTGCAGGCGAGTTGCTGTAGAAGCACCTTTGGTTGCTTTGAACACCAGCCCAGCATCCATCTGGCGCGCATACATTGTGGATCGTCGTTTTCCAGGCCCAGGTTCCTCATTGCTTCCTGCAGCTGCTTCTGCATCAGACTTGTCAAGCTTCTTCTCACTTTCAGGCTTCTGGGTACTTGTTCCTGCTGCGTCTGGGCCAACGCTCTCCTCACTTTCCAGTCGTTTGCTGTTTGTTTCATCTGCTTCCAAATCAAACTTGTTCTCACTTTCAGATCCCTCTGCATCACTTTCTTCAGCTTCCAGCTCCACCTTCTCACTTTCAGGTGACATGTCAATGTCTCTTAGCGGATCTCTGTGCTTGTTCTCCGGCTTCTGTTCTTGAAGTCCCTCAGCTGACTGTGGAGACAGGGTGTCCTGACTGCAATTTGCATAGTGTCCTTGCAAACTCGTTGCTGCGCATTGATCGAGCAAGTCGATCTTACAATCCTGCCACCCTTCGTCGAGATCTAGAGGCCTCTCACCAGCCCAAACCTGCAGGCCGTAGGTCGACACCTCCTTGCCCTCTATGGTCTCCTCTCCCTTCAAACGCCTCCAGTGCATGCATAATGCTCTTGGAGAGTTTGAACATGCCAACAGTCAGCAGCTGCCGTTTCGTTTGGTCACACACAGTACTGGTACAGCGTGAATTTGTACAATGGCAAGGTTCCCCTGGCCTCAGAGTTGTAGTCTTGCCTGCTCGGCCCCGGCCCACAAAGCACAAACGCACCATCGGCAATGGAGACATTCCACGTTTTTGGCATTCCAACAGCTGCACCTTGGCCTTGGTAGCAAAGCCCCATCCAAACGTACACGAAAGATTCGGTCAATCGCAAAACCCATGTTCAGGGGCATCTGATGTCACACCAAGGTGCTGCTAAACACTTGGATCACTTGGGTGGTGAGATCTGCTTGGTGACTTCCACGCTTATGGTGCGTAGTTGCTTCCAGTTGTGCAAGGGTATCTCTTAGAATCCGAGATTGACCAAAAGGGTGGCTACAATCGGCAGTGTGATTCTGGGGCAGGTCTCTCTTCAGTTTGACACAGGAAATTGGGTGACCTTGAAGGAAGCAAAGCGACTCACGATGGTCCAAAAGTGGAGTTCCTTTTCAACCGCAAAGTGCTTTGCCAACTCCTTGCGGAGGGGTGGCACACCGGCGGCATGCCTGCCACGCTGCCGCTGCTTCTCTGAATGTGACCTTCGCCAAATGTCTGTTGCTTCGTCGTTGGATCTACTTACTTGTTCTTAATCTTCTGTATGATGCAGCGGACGGAAAGTGCTTCTGGCTACTTGTGGATGGTGAAGCAAGGTGGTCTGGATCCTCAGTGTTGCGCAGTTTGCAATTTCCGGTTTGGCTCCCGCAAAAGCACGACTATGTTGCTGATGCATGACGCTGCAATCTAAGCTGCCTTCAGTCCTTTTGTTCCTAGCACTACAGGCTCACCTCACTGATACGCGTTGGTAGAGTGTTGATGAGATACGTGCTGCTCTTGGATCAGCTGGCTCCGCTTCTTCATCGCAGTGCCCTCCAACTGAACCTGGTACTGATGGTTTTCGGCTAGAGAATGTTGAACTGACAAGTTGGTTGACCTGGCTCTGGGGCCAACGCATCCTCTCGCAAGAGTTCGTTGGTAGCCCACTGTCTCAACCACATCTGGGCAATCTGCCTGTCTAGTGCTTGATTCGTTGATGACATTGCGCTCTCTTTCTTAGACCCCAAAGCCTGGACAGAGAGTTCAGGGGCGCGGCCAGCCACTGTGCCCAGTCATTTTTTCCTAAGAGGGAACTCCCTTTGCTGCTTGACTCGGATGAAGCTTGGCAGTGGCAACTCTCACAGGTTGCCACTCTTGCTCTGTAAAGTTCATGCCGCGTGCGGCATGTGAGGAGTGAGGTTCCAAAAGTTACACAGAACTGGATTCTCAATTTTGGGCTGAGGCCACAACAAGATTCCATTATAAAACATGGTCATGTTGGTCTGCGCATCGTATGAGAAACCCTGGGAAACCAACATTGGCTTTGGTATAACAATGCTCAGACAACCCGGCATGAACATGCTTGGTGACGGTGACGACATTTGACATGCGCCCCTGTTCCTGCGTTAGGTCCTGCCTACAGATGAAGGTTCCCTTGCGACCCCTCAAACAACAAGCTCAGCATGAGCCGATGAATCGACACTCTGCACGCGACACGCATTCTGCACGCTGCACGAGTCGGAGAAGACGCTGCAAAGGTCCACACAGCCAAGGAGCCAGGATGTTCACGGCTTCTTCTCGTTGGTATTCCCTGGCTAAATCCAGTGGAGTTTGACCTTGGTGCCCCAAGACAATGCAGCTGGGAGGTAGAATGGCAAAGACTCCAGGATGTCAGCTCAACTCCTGTCAACAAAAACGGTCTTCAAGTGCTTTGCTGCAGCTCCAAGAACCACTCTTTACCAAATCAACATCTCTGAACATGTATTATGGCCAACAAATTTGCTCTCATTTGACCCCTCATGAGATCTACCGCCTCCTTATGCCGTTCTCTCCCAAGCGGCGCTCCGAGGACCCGGGCCCCATGTGTTGGTGGCCTCCAGCGAGGCCCCAGCCTTCATCAAGAGCTCCACGCAGGTGGAGTGGCCTTCCCGGGCGGCCACGTGAAGTGGCCGATTGCCTCGGCCCAGAGCGAGGACGCGTTCGACTCCCTACGCAGGATTGACGAAGTCGTGAAGGCCGAGCGCAAACCAAAAGACCCAACGTTAAGACACCCATCCAACGTGGTAAAGCCATCACCCATCTTCCAAAACATCATAAAGGCTCGTAATTAACTTGCCACTTGCCTATTATATAAATTAGTATCGCCAGTATCGCATCCTCCCCTGAGGCCCCAGGCCACGCCAGTCGGCCGCCTCCAGTGGAGCGCCGGAGCTCAGCAGCAGCTCAGCCGCCTCGGCGGAGCCATAGATGGCCGACGTGTGCAGCGGGGTACTGCCTGAGCCGTGCGGAGAGCCGCGGTGGACGAAGGCGCCCGGCGAATCGGACCACGGGGGAAAAGGGCTTGGCCTGGTCGATGGTCGAGATGCAACAACAAATCCACAGGATACTTGCATTGCATTAGATCCCACAACATTTGAAGGACGCATGCTTGTTAACTCCTCGACTGGTAATGCTGGCTTTCATCTTTCAAAAGGATCTACAGTAGCAGCTAAGAATCATGGGCGACCCCTACTGGCAAGTAACCTAACGGTTCTTCTCTTTTGCCCTGTCATCCCTATTGAATGGCAGGTACACCCACTACACATTCCACCTTCATGCTTGAACCACACACAACAAAAAAGAACACTAGACTACAACCCACTAGCCAAAATGCTCCCACTACAGCCCACACAGATGAACACCTGGACTCGCAGAGTTGGAATCCAAAGGCATCCGTAAGGGGAACCCCCCCCTTCGCAGCCTCCCAAATTGCCCCACAAGGCCCCAGACTGTAGTTTTCCGCAGCATCGACGGCCGCCCGGGCGTCCAGCAACAGCTTCACGGCCGCGCTGTGGTTGAACCGCGCCGCGAAGCAGAGGGGCGTCTGACCTCGCTTCCCGGGGAATTCAATCGATCTGAAGTTTCAACAGTGCAACTGGGAGACCACACACTTCGACGGTTTCTCAAGAGTTGAAAAAGACCCACTTGCTTGCTCGCTTGCTCGCTTGCTTGCTCGCTTGCTTGCTCGCTTGCTTGCTTGCAGTGAACGTCAATGCAGGGACAGGTTGCGTCGAATCAAGAGCATTCCTGCAAGAGTAGAATACTTACAGAACGCCTGTTACTGTGTATAGTCACGAACAAATACTTAGAACATACTTTTGATTGTTTTTCAGGGGAGCTGCGCGGATGTTCTAAGTACATGACTTAGTCACCACATACCAAAAGAGGTTCTCGCAGGTGGGTAGCAGATGTTCTAAGTGTAGAATTCCGCAGGACCAGAGTGACACCAAGAGACAAGGACACCACTGAAGCAAGAAACTCGTTTTTGCATCTTGGGGCAGATGCAGGGGACATGTTCTAAGTGAAGCGTTTACCAGGTCTATGAGTGTTTGTTTCTCTTTCATGGCATGGAGAGGAATATGATTGTTCATTCATGTGGCACCTTCTAAGTATTGGTTTCCTGGCGTGTTCTATGTGATGTTTTCTCACCACCTCCCTTGGTATGAGCGATGTTCTAAGTGTATGGGTTTTTTTGACGTTCTAAGTGCAGGGTTGGCGATTTTGGAAGAAAAAACTTTTGTTCTAAGTGTATGTCCGTAACTATGTTCCTTAGCTTGAAAAGTTCTGAGTTGGAACAGGACCTGTTGAGACCATTTCTTCCCCTTCTCAGCGACCTCCTCATGCTTCAGGCTTCCCTCTGAGGCCGTGGCCATCACTCTGCTTCTCGTGCACCAAGGTGGCGTCTCGGCGCACGAAGTGCCGCAGCGCTCCGAGGTTTCCCCACTCGGCAGCCTCGTGGATGTTGTGGCCTGGGCGCCACAACAAGCGGCATGGGAACAAGCCGGAGCTCCGAAAGGTCCGTGAGGTTCTGAAGATTCTTTAGTGACTTAGTGTGTCTTCTTGCGTTTTAATTTATACATATATATATATATGTATATACGTATACATACAATACAACATATACATTACATTACGGTACATTACAATAGTATGCGTGTATGAATTTATATATTATATGCATGTGCAGTTGCATGCAACAACTAAAGACTTGGAATACCAATTTGGGAACTTGCCCTGTAGCAGGATATGGTGGAATTCAGAGTTGCGGAACAATCGCAAACGGCTGAAATAGAAGCAGAGCAACACAGGAAGCTAAATACAGCCCCAATAGATCCCAATAGAATATAGCTCGAAGTCTCTAAGTGGAAGAATTGAAAACCAAAACTACCGTTAACTGTTTTCAAGAAATCAACACCAAAACTGCTGCAAGGTCTCTTCCTGATACGCGCAAGATGGCCCAAAAAAGCAACCATCTGAGGAGTCAACACTTTCGTGCTTCTACTGCGTCCGCCTGTGAAAGGCCAAGTGTGGATTCACTGGATGCAGCTTGTGTCGCTGGAAATGCCACTGCTGCAACCATGTTTGGCATCTCGCAACCCTCAAACAGAATTGGTAGTTTCATCATGTCTGATCAAACCGCCAAGCTATCTTGACATGATCCAACTTGCGCAATGCTACGACCATGATGACCGTGGCACCAACGGTTGCCTGCAAGTCCTGTCAATGTCTTTTTAGACGGTCTTGAAAGGATGAATTAAGGGTAGCAGGCACCCTTAGGCGACATCATTTGCCATCGAGAGGCCCACGTGACTTTCATAACTTCTTGAAGTGAGTTGCACGAACACAAGCTGCATGCCTTCTCAGATTCCATCTTCGCCTGGAAAAAACAAAAAAAACATATCATCTAATCTAACCATGAAATAACGTTTGGTGGTTCTCCTTGCAGGTTCAGTTGTCCAACCAGAAGGAGCACACTGACTGAACAGACATCAAGGCAACTACAAAACAGGAGTGATCACCATTTCGCACAGGAGTGATCACTACTGTCGCAGCAGGCCTCCGACTACAAAATAGCCGACAGTAGGGATTGATTTCCCGAAGAAACTCGTTACATGTTTGATTTGTGATTTCAAATCACTCTGATTTGATTTGGCGCACCTGCTTCAGCAAAGAGGAGAATCAAACTCGTTACACTCACTCTGAGCCAGTAGGGCAAGAGCAGTCTGAATATGTCGAAGTGCCAAAGTTTCCAGGATCCACAATCATCTACTGAGTTTGGGATCGATTGACGCAGCATTTTACGCTTCCGCTGGCGGCTGGCATGTCGGTTTTCTTGGTGAAATATCTCTGGAGTCTTTGATCCAAGTCATTAAGTCTCACCGTCCTCGGCCACCTGGCCGCATCTATCAGAGAGCACCTATCTCGCCTGTGAAGGTCGGTCCACCACGGTTGACAACGCACTGCGCCTTGAAGACTGAACTGGAAAATGCAGCCTGTGTCGGCCAGGAAGAAGCAGCTTTGCATGTTGTGCGGTCAAAAACGAAACACGTGAAAGCTTGGCTGATGGAGCAAGCAAACAGGAAGCTGCTACGGATTCACTCTACTTTTACACAGTGTAGGCTCAGAACTTCAGCCATTAACATGTCGAAGTGGCGCTCCTCAAAGAACCATGTGTGACCTGCAGATTCCATGACCCTTTTGGAACAATGTTCCACAGGCTTCCTTTGGTGCAAACTGAACACTTGAATAGCACAGGTCAGCTGCCGTGACAACAACTCTGTAGCGGCCAACGACCAATTCCGAGGTCCCGACGAACGACAAGCGACTGAACAAACGACTGTCTCGCCGTGTCAACATGGCTGCTTCTCTAGCTGGCATGCAAAGTTGCCAACCACACCTCGCCCGCATGCAATCATAGCTGGCCAGAGCGGATCATAGCCCACTGCTGGACTTTCATGTCCAAGATCTACACTGGAACCTTTTAGAGAGGGATCTCCTCACGTTCCTTGATTTGGGCACCAACCCAGCAGCCTTCGCTGAACAACCCTGAAACCATATATCTAAACCAGTTCAAGTGTGCACAGTAACAGCTCAGCTTCGTAAAAAGTGTCATATCCTCAAGTTCATTCCTATATACATATGTGCTAGCCAAAAAAAACAAAAAAAAACATGTTTTGATGTGAGACAGAACAATTCAGGATAAGCAATGTCTGCCCTTTTTGGTTGGAGTGGTGCTTTATAGTAACAGCCCTGGAATAACGCCTACAGTTCAATTTCTTCAATCAATACCACCCTCAAAAGAAGTCTGCCTTTTTGAGCTGAATGATTTTAGTAATAAATGTTTCCGTTTTCTATGCATGAATGTGTATTTCTATGCATGAATTCCCTTTTAGATTCCTTGTGATTACTGATTCCGATTCCCCTTTAAAACCCCCGCGATTCCTAATTCATTATTGATTCCCTTTAAGTACCTTTTGAGTTCCTTTTGATTCTTATTGATTCCCTCTTAAAATCCTTTTGATTTCTATTGATTGCCATTTAACCCTTTTTAAGTAGTATCAAATCATTGCAAGCCCTTTTGGGCTGGGGTCATTATTAACAATAGCATCCCCTGCAATAATGTGTCTTTACTTGTGTAATTCCCTTGTTTAATTGCTATTGGTTTCATATTAAATTCTTTTTGATGTGTAATGATTTCTCTTGCATTCCTTCTGATTCCTATTGATGTCCTTTAAAACTCCTTTTGATTTGACCTGTTTTAAAAAAATGATTCCTATTGATTTTCTTTAAGTTCTGTCGATTCTCAGGTTGTCGATCATTCAGGGGGACCACGGACCACGAAGGGCACCGGGCCCCGCGTCTAGACGAATCAAGAGTCAACAGCATGGGGGGATGCTTAACCGGGTGAAAAGAATGAACGTATGTGCTGAACTAAACGGTCCAAAGTATCCAAGTAGCCGAACTCAAGAAGTTCAACGTTTTGCCCACCGTATAAATACCAATGGTGAGCTCAAGACTGTTCGATGTCCATGTTTACATGAAGAAAGAGGCTGAGACATGTCTCTTCTTTCTGGTTCCTTCCTCTTGTTTGTTCCTTTTTCCTTTCCTCCCTTCCTTTCCTTCCTTTCCTTCCTTTTCTTCCTTCCTTTCTTTTTCACCGCCACGCTTCAAAGCCGTCCATGCGACATGAATCAAACAATTCATGCCAAGCTGCAAACTGCTATGAACTCCGCATCTTCCCGCACCTTCCATGCACGTCTTCGCGACAGAAATGGAAGACTTGTGGGAGGAAGCAAAATGCGCAGAGCTCAAACTTGTAAAATAGAAAGAAAACGCAACGCAACCCTTTCAGTGAGCAATAAAAACTATATACATATATATATACAGTATATGAAAAAAGAAATCCAGCTGGTTTTAGTGCTCAAGTGGTCTTCTGACAAGGGTGAGTAAGAAGGAAAAGGACTCAGCAGCCTTTCATCTGCAACATGAGCATCAGCAGACCTCGCCTCGTTTGACCAACCTCAAAGTCTCTCAGGAACCTCCCTCAGCTGACTCTCGAAACAGTAGAAGCAGTGAGGCCAAGCTGTGCAGAACAATCTATTCCGTTTCAAGCAGGCTATGGAACAGGAAACTAGGTCCAACTACAGTAGGTCTCCAGCCATGGAGCTGCTCATTGCGGCATGCCGGGCATGCACATGTCCCGTCCATCCGCACGCCATCGATCGCCAGCTTGGCCATCTGACCTCCAAACATCTCCAAACCAGGCCATGGAGCGCTAGATTCAACGAGTCTCAACGGCTGACCCTGCTGCACTGGCCTGAGAAGGCCAAGGCTCAGTGTCCCACATAGAACCTACAAACTGGTTTGTTCAACTGCAATAGCAAATCCATTGCAAAACGATCTGTGGTCTAGCAAACCGAAGTGGTAGCAATGCTGACAGTGCTGAAATCTGAAACTGGGCGGAAAGCCATGGAATTTAACATTACGAAGCCGCAAAAAAAACATGTTTGGCTGGTGCTCTCAGTAGCCAAAAGTGGCGTCAAATGGTGGCAGTTATCATCCTTGAACATTTCACGTCCTGAAGCAAAGCAGGTTGCCTTGCAATCGACTGGAAACCTGCAAAAATGTGTGCCCTAGACCTCCCTTCTGCCATTCAAGACCTTGCATGCAGCATCTCCTTTTTTGTCCAGCACATGGTTTCCTTCACTATGTTTTCTCGGTGAAAAAAAATAGACTGACCTCAGCTGGAAGGCCTGATCTTCGCCACTGTCCACTTCTTAGATATGCTTATATATATATATATATTGGTTTTGTTTTGTTTTGCATCTGCATCCAAGCCTAGTAAAGCTGTTGGAACCCACTCGTCCAGCATGAATTGTTCAAGGCAACCACTCGTCGGCTGTCAGAAAACCGAGTGCGACTACCCCAGTTTCGTTCGAGTGCCGCAGACTTGCATTCCAACACGAAAAACTGAAATGGAACTGTGGCATGAGTGTGATGTCCAGCCTGGTTTGCGAGTGTCAACGTCCTTCGCACAGAAAAATTGGATGACTTGTACTTGGTTTCTCGATCCAACTGTACACACAAACCATTGGGCGATCATTGAAATTAAGGCTAGCACCCATGCCAAAAGTCCAGCGGGCGTGCCACATTTGAATCTTCTCCTGAGACCCCCACATGGATGATTGACTCCTACAAGCAGCTCTCACATCGACAAAGTCTGAGTACCACTCCTTGCTCATCTTCCCGACAAAAAGCGGGTTTTGGGCAGCTTCACGGCTGTGGCTGAACCACACATCTTGACCAATTGAACGAACCTTCCACGTTGCCATGGAGCCACCATTTGCATATGTAAATAAAAACCTTACAAACACGCCCGGCATCCTAAAGCCACAGGGATCAGTCCTGCAGGTGGTCCGTTCATACTAGCCACACATATGGTTTTGACGAGACCTGACTTACATTCCAATAGGACGCAAAATAGTCAGGATGAATGGCAATATCATCAGTGACAAAACGCAATCTCCAATCGATGCGCAACCAGCTGGAAAGCGCAAAATCTCCAAAACCATACAGGATTTTGAGGTGAACAAGATCTTGTGTTCATAAAGTGTTCGTGTTGAGTTCGGAATGAAGACAAGATGGAAAAATGTAATCCTGCGGCGTGTGTTTCATGAAGTGGTACGATCTGATGATTGAGTCTGCAAGATAAAACATTCAAGTCAACAAGCACGAACCATTTTCCACCATTTTCCATGGAGACCATAACTTATGTATATTGCATGGTAAGCATCACGTCATGAAGAGTTGATGCATGAACTTGCGCAGCCCCCTTTTGAGCATCAGGAAAAAGTGCGTATGGTAGCGGAACTGAAAAAGAGGTAACCCCTTTGGAGTTCTGACTGAAAAGCCCCTAGGTCACTGGGATCCCGGTTGCGAGTTCGAGCCATAGATTTGGGACGCCTTGGGAACCCAAGCAGCTGGACTGGTGAATCATTGTTGTAAGCAACACTCTGTGCCCAGTACATTGTGTCAAAGAGACATTAGTGCAAGGAGAAGATAGAGGAGATCAGAGAAATCCTTCAGACTATAGCACAGCGTACGCTGGCAACAACATCAGCAGCTGAGGCAGTGAAAAGCAGTTGAGGACAAGAAGTCATCAGCAACATGATTGGTCAAAATTGAAAGCAAATCCCAATATTTTTGACTACAAATGACAAGAAGAAGAGATCAAGGCATTCACAGCGTGGTCATGGGTCTTCGGTAAGTATTTGAGCGCAGTTGGTGAGGGTTACATGAAGGACTTGAAGGAAATTCATGAGAAACCAAATGATAAATTTGACATCGACTTGGCAACTGAGGCAGAGAAGACCAGGCGTGTCAAGTTTTATGGATTGTTAGCTTCATTGATGAGAGGAAGGGCACTGCAATTCGTGAAAGCTGTGGAAGATTTGAATGGATTCGATACCTGGAGGAGATTGAATAAAGCTCTGAAACCAACTTCAAAAACAAAAGGCTTGGCACTCTTGGGGGGCAGCCACTACATGGCCAGCATGTTCAACGAACAGCGCACTACAACCTCAACTCTTGAAGCTTGAAGTCAGTCAAGTCAGGAACTACAATTCAGGCTTCAGGACGAATTGAGATCTGCTATTCTTTTGAGATGTGTGGGCGGTCAACTAAAGCCCAACTTGAACTTGACAATGT